AATGTGAGTGTGTGTGTGCACGTGTATGACCCTGCATTCATCCACAGATGTATAGAGGGAGGAGGAAACATGAAGAAAGGTGACGCCCTCTCTCTCCAGGATGGAAGACCCCGAGGCTAAGAGATTAACATTAGGTTGATCTGTTAAGTAGGTGAAATCAAAGCCAGGATCTGAAATTGAGCAGATATTCCTTTAAGTCTTGTCCATGTGACTCTGTAATGCAACAGTCTTACCTGCCCTTGAGCAAGGTGCAGAATTTGCTCCTCCTATCAATAAGGATATTAGTGGTGCCCACACATAGGTGTGAGCTGTGAGCATGCAGTGAAATAATATTGATAAATGCCCAGCATCTAAGTTCCTAGTTCATATAGTTGTCAGCACTATTTTTAATCCTTTAAATCATGATTGGTAAGAACTGAGTTACTACAACCAAGGAGAATGGAGAGCAGAAGGGGGTAAACTCTCCGGAGGGAGAAAGCTAATACTCTGGGCATGTCATATGAAGTATTTTCTCAGTGCTCTGGGCATTAATTTCATATGAAGAGTACACAACACAGAGGAGGCACCCAATGCAGGGTTTGTTGACTAAAGAGATGATGTTGCACATTAAGTTAACTGAAAATTATAGTTTTTATTTCCTCGATAAGTTGGCCCTCATATACTCTTTCTCTAGTACTAGGAACTCTCATATCATATTTTTATATAGGCTTTCCTTTCCCAGACAGTGTGGTCCTGTAGGAAAAAAAAATGTTGTGGATGCCACTGGTTCTGGTACCATCTTACCTGGTGTCCTGAATGGTGGAAACCTCTTTATTGAGGGAGGAAAGTTTGCTTCTCAAAATCCACAGAACTTGGAAGTAGAACACCAAGTTTATCTGTAGAAACAGCATGGAAAATTGACATGGAATTTTCTTTTAAATCCTTGTCATGCAACCCAACTTTAGGTAAACCTAAGAATCTTTTCCCAAAAGATGCAGGCTTCATAAGGATGATATGGACACAGGCTCTGGTCTTGGGTACAGCACACGCATATAACCTGTGGCCCTCGGTGGACGATGAGAACGACATACCTGTCACTCAAGCCAGGACGCCCTGAGAGTAAAAGGATGCTATTCATACTTACACCAGGACAACAGATGAAATCAGAAAGCTCCCGGCAGACAGAACAACATCACTCTATGTAGAGTAAGTATTACTAAATTTTGTTAAATGAACAAATACCAGATTTTTGAAAGAATCCCTTGCAGAGGGTTATATTATATCAAAATAACCAGTGGGCTGGGGGAAGAGGAGGAAAGACATGTGAAGACAGTATTTCCAGTAAGAGGGGTTGATCACATTAAGCTATATTCCCTTATCTTCATCTCATTTCCACCTTCACAGATAAGAAACACCCTCTACGCTTGGCTGACCCAGGGCAGACACACCAGTAAATATCACTGGTCACCTACCAAGATAATGAGGGCCACTGGCCCCATGAAGCTCCAGATGAACCCTTTATCAAGCTTGAGCCAGCAGCTGTTGAGAGAAAGATAAGCATTAGCTGCTTACTCCTTAGGAGACAGCAAAGGACTTGAATTCAGGCTCCTGTAGTGATATCTGAGCAGTACGTCCAGCTGTTTATTTCAGACTTGGATTTTCCATGGGATTAGACATAGATCCTCGTCTCATACAAGCTGTATGCTTTGAGCCTCAGTTTCCCCAGAAGTATTGGGAAGATAAAATAATTACCATGGTTATATACCAAGCCTTTAAGTCAGAAAGTATCAGGTCTCTGACTCTGTTTCTCTCCTTCAACATTGTGTTAGCTATTCTGAGTCATCTGCCTTTCCACGTAAACATGAGCATCAGTTTGTCAATATCTGCAAAATAGTTTTCTGGGATTTTGATTTGGAACACATTAAATCTACATATCAAGTTGGGAAAAACTGACTTCTTGACAAAATTGAGTCCTCCTATCCATGAACATAGACTATCTCTTCATTTATTTGAATCTTCTTTGATTTCTTTTATCAAAGTTTTTCTCATATAGGTCTTGTTGGAAAGATTAAGTGAGAGAATGTTCATACAGTTTTTGAGTACAGTTCCTGGCAGAGTTAAAGATCAATAAATGCAGGTATCTTAATAATAAATGATTGCTAAAATAAAAAAGAGTAAAAATAACAAACGACAGCTACAAAAAACTATCAACACTAATAATTAAGCATAGCCCACGTACCAAGTATTCTAGTCACCAAATATTTTGTATTCTATCATGGTTTATGTTTGCAAAGGTGGTATAATTTATTCTGAAAGGGGACATAGTGGTATGAAGCTGGTAAAAGTAACAAGCAATTGCCAACACTTAGTCAGCAGAAAACCTCCCACACTTAGACATATTCCAAGAGTTGCAAACAATGGCCCACAAGCCAAATCCAGTCCACCCCTTGTTTTTGTAAATAAAATTTTATTGAGTCACAGCCACACCCATTCATTCACCTATTGTCTATGACTTGGATGCTTTCACACTACAAGGGCAATGTTGAGTAATTGCCACAAATGGTTTGCAAAACAAAAATAGTTGCCATCTGGCCATTTATAGAAAGTTTGCCAACCCCTGATCTACCCCATTGTTATATCGCCAGAATCATCTGGCTAGACAGAGGGTTTAAGCTGGAGACAGGGCATCTCTTGGACTTACAGAGGGACATTCTCACACATGTTTTAGCACAGTCATACCTGTTTCCGAACTCAAGCCTCATTACCAAAATACTAACCTCTTCAACTAACTTTGTGGAGCTTTGAAAACTTCTTTAGTGAAGCAGCAAAACATTGCCCTGCAGAACGCTGCCTTGGGAATTCTGACTTACTCTCTTTTTAGCTTGAATAGTTACACTAAGCTCTAGATTTCCTGTGCATGAGATAATGAACAGTGACAACTTTGTAAGATAATGAAGAGAATGAGATGAGACACTGCCGACAGGAAGCACTATCTCTGATGCCTCACAAGACTTTGTTATTCTGTATATTTTGGAGACTCACCTCAACCTATTCAACCTACTCGTTCAGAATCCTACAAAACATAGAGCTCACAGGTTCTTAATGTGGGGTCATGGATTTGCTTTTTTCATCCCTGAATTTCCCAAAGTTATATTTCAACATTTAGTGTGTACATACATTTGTCTGGGAAATAGCCTCTGGATTTCACCAAAATTCTCAAAAGGATCCAACCCAAAGATGCTGAGAAATATTGCTCTAGGGATTTCCAAGAGAAAATAGAATTCAGGCTTAAGGAAAGACTAGTTGGAAATATAATTCATAATTGGAAAATCTATTTTAAAAAAATTGTTTTGGATTATGCATTAGCCATGGACACCACTTCCACCATAAACGAATTCATCTTGCTTACTGAGTATACGTTCCATAATTTTTGTGTCCTACTATTGCAGATACAGCCACAATCAGAGCTGGGAGCCCGTAGCCGAAAAGGTACATGAACCTCTTCTTGAATCTGCCTGCGTTGGTGTAGTTGGCCACCTTGAGGTTCCTGACAGTGAGGAAGAGGTGGAGCCCTTCAAGGAGCATCCAGGTGAAGGAGGCCAAGTAGAGGTAGTGCAGCACACCTGCAATGACGGAGCACAGCACCTGGAAGAGAGGCAAGAGTTAGGGATGTGGAGCTGATGTGGTCTGTGCCTGATTATATTCTCGGCACTTGTTATTTCCTGGATGCTGGTTTGGAATTTCAGTTCTAGCACCTGTGACATTTTGCCTGGAGGCAGTACATTTTCTGGGGGCATTCACTGGCCATTGAAATTTGCTTTTCCCATGCATGGGGCAGGCCAGAAGTGCCAAGAAATGAAGCAGTCCTCAAATCCATAATAGGCAAGGGTAGTAAATAAATACTCTATTGACCTAGCCTTTAGGGTGGATATGATGGTCAATTTTATGGGCCAGCTTGACTGGGCTAAGGGATGTCCTGATAGCTGGTAAAACATTATTTCTGGTTGTGTCTGTGAGGCTGTTTCCAGAAGAGATTAGCATTTTAAGCAGTAGACTAAGAAAGATTACCCTCACCAGTGAAGGTGGGCATTATCCAATCCTTAAGGGCCTGAATATAACAAAAAGTTAGAGAGGGGGAGAATTTGCTCTCTCTGTTTGAGCTGGGACATCCATCTTCTTCAGTCCTCAGACATCAGAGGTCATGGTTCCAGTAAACATTTATTTATAAAAACAGATGGTAGGGGCCAGACTGGGTCTGAGCACTGTAGTTTGACAACTTCTACCTATTTTCAGATAAACAAACTGAGGCCCAGAGAAGTTAAAATCTCCCCCAAGGTCACACAGCTAGTAAAAAAAAAAAAAAATGGATTTGAAACCCAAACTATCTCCAGAGACCATAATTACTCTTAACCATAGCACTATATTGCCTCTCAAAAAAAAACATATTGTGCTTTCATAATCTTCAGACTATGGGATGATAGTGTTTTAGGGTTCAAAGGAGCCTTGGAGAACATCTAGTTCCAAATCTTCCTGTATGTGATGATGATCATGATTGTGGTGAAAATAAAAGGTAATGTTCTCTGAGTGATTAATCCAGATGCTTTCAATGCTTTATCTTGCTAGGTCCTTACTAAAGCTCTATGACAATGCTTCTGTTTTGGAGAGGAAGTTTTCAACGGGAAAACCACTTTAACAACAACATAGAGCAAGTAGGATGAAGAGTTGAGATTCAAGGGTAAATTAGTGTGGCAAAGCCACCGTCCACCAAAACTTCAAGCCTCCTTCCAGCCCCAATTCTAGAATATAGATTTGTCACTAGGGCATGTCTTCCCAGCCAGAGACTACATTTCCCAGCATGACCTGCAGTTAGGTGTGACCATGTGACTGAATTCTAGCCAGTGGAACTTAAGAGGAAGTGACATGCACCACTTCCTGAGGTGGTCCATATAAATCTCTTTCCTAGGACTCCACCGTGTTTTTACTCTTTGGCCAGTTGGCCAAGATAGAAAGGGCCCCAGGATGACCTTGGAAGGTGTGCATGGAAGATAAAAGCCTCCACTGGCCTGAAGTTGGAGGAGAGACACCCTTCAGACCTATTTGTTCACCTTCTACGGATCCATATGGAAAAATTAACTACTCTTTTGATAAGCTACTAGGATTTTGGAGTTTATTTGTTACAGCAGCTATTGTAACCCTATCTAACACCATCAGTCTGACGCTCAGTCGCTTTGCTAAATGGCCCTTCAGAAAGTACAGGTCTTGTTCAAAGTTATATAGGAGGAGAGTTGAAATGGAAATGCTTGTTTTTTCCCCCTACCCCTCACTGCTGATCATTGCCTCTCTCCCCATCTTTCCTCAAATCAAGATGGCTAGATGGGATTACGACAATGAGGCAATTTGGTTAAATCACCTACCTCAGGCTCAGTTTGGTTAATCCCTGTGAGGAAGAGGAGGTGGGCCAAGAAGAGGCAGATGGAGAGGTGCAGGTGCAGGGAGGTGCTGGTGTTCTGAATGGGCCGGCACAGGAGGAAGGTGAGGGCTGCCAGGAGGAGGCACAGCAGAGAGAGGCTGAGCCCCACGTAGGTGATCACAGTCAGCACAGGATCTTCCTATGAGCCACCAAAGGAGGAATCCATTATAGTTTCCAGTTCTATTGTCATGTTTCTGATGAAGCGTCAGATGGGCTTCCCAGTTCAGTCTCCCAAACAAGTGGCTTAATCTCCCTGAGATCTGGTGATCCCTTCTTCAAAATAGGGGCAGCGATAGCATTTATCACACAGGGCTGTTGAAAAACTAAAACCAGCGGTGTCCAATAGAAGTAGGTGAGCCACATGTATAATTTTATAGGGCAGAGCTCAAGTGGTAGAGCACATGCTTAGCATGCACGAGGTCCTGGGTTCAATCTCCAGTGCTTCCATTAAATAAATAAATAAACCTAATAACCCCCCCAAAAGCCAAAATAAATAAATATTTTTTGAAAGAAAAGAAATAGGTGAGCCACATGCACAATTTTAAATTTTCTGGTAGCCATATTTTTGAAAATGTAAAAAGAAACATGCCAAATTAATTTAATAGTATATGTTCAAAAGACTGAGTTCAATGTGTTGAATGTAATATAATTAATATAATAATATAACAAAATATAATCAGTTCAAACTATAGTCAATGTAAAACAATTATTTTTTTAAACTGAAGTATAGTTGATTTACAATGTTGTATTAATTTCTGGTGTACAACATAGCAACTTAGTTATATATATATATATTTTTTCTTTTTCATTCAAGGTTACTACAAACCATTAAATATAGTTCCCTGTGCTATACAATGAGACCTTGTTGTTAAATGCAAAATAATTATTAATGAGATATTTGATATCCTTTTTTTTCCATATTAAGCCTTTGAAATTCAGTGTGTATTTTACACTGAGTGCTTCTCAGCTCTGATGCTCTGTTTTCAATGGTTAAAGTAAAATGTGGTCAAACAGTAAAGTTGAGTTTAATGGAGAAATATTTTGCACTACTTCTTAATTTAAATAAGTTACAATTAAGTAAAATTTAGTTTTGTTCTTCAGTCCCACATGTCACATTTCAAGTGTTCAATAGCCACATGTGACCGGTGGTCCTTTTGGGCAACAGCACTCAAAAGTCATCTCATGAAGGCTGGGATTTCTTTATCTGTCTTGTTCTCTGCTGTATCTACAGTGCCTAGGGTGGCATCTGATATAGTAGGTACTCATGAATTTGTTGAATGAATAAAATGAAGCTGTGCATTTAAATATGCAATATGACAGTTGACTTATAGTAAATGCTCAATAAATGGGTGCTAAAAGGAAATGGGGAAAGAAGTTAGGTAGGTTTCTTTAAGCCTGAGTTACCTGAGACACAGTTGGGATCTGGGGAGATCGGGGGGCTAGGCTCTTTCATTGATGATAGTCAGTCGTCTTCCCTCTGGCCTATGGAGGGGCTTTCTCTAACTCTCTCTAGCAGAGTAACAGGTGTTTTTGATCTCAGATCACCTTGAACTTTCCCACCGTCGGAGCTGACAACCCCGCTTTTCAATGTCTGAGGGCTTCCTCTGTCAGCTTGAGCTCGTTCTGGCCACTCTGAATGGGCTGTCAGAGAATGAACATCCCCTGGATGCAGCTTTCAGCAAAGGGCTGAAGGGGAGGTGGTGTGTAAATACCTCAGCTTTCTCCCCGTTCAGTTAGGATGAGTCTGAGGTGTGTCTCCTACGTGGACTCCAAGAATCCCCCAGAGGGAAGTAACCTTCGGTTACCCAAAGCGGTAACTGCCTTGGTAATGCTCTCTGCGTTGGCTCCTGTCCTTTTCCCGTCCATTCGCCAGCCCCCTACTGGTACTTCTTGGAATTACCTCTCAAGTAAGCTACTTCTGCTTGACTCCTTATCTTAGAGTCTTTTTCTAAGACACGGAGAGGAAGACCTCACAGCTTCCTGGACACAGTCACGTTCATGAGAAGGGCCCATGATTCGTGGTACCTTGGGAGCAAGAGCCACGAGGACAGCAAAGCTGGAGAGGTGGGAGCACGTGCACTTGGTGTGAGAATCGTTGCTGCTCCAGTGAGAGCATCCCTCTGTCGACCAGCTGCCTCCCTCCTCCGATCCTTTCCAGTAGACGCAGAGATGTTTTGTTCTCCCACCGCCAGGCTGGTAAGAGAATAGCATAAAAGCGGGTCTCCTTCTGGTTTTACAGGCTAATCATGGATGCACTGGGTTGGAACCTGGACTGGGAAAATTCTCTCATCTGGAATGTTTGTGGGGAAGAGTCTCATAGCACATGTTGACCGTGGGGTTTATTCTGCCTTTATTCTGCCTGTCTCTGGTCATCTCAGATCTCCCAGGATTGACCCTTATGAACTACCTGACTCAAGCTGCTTGTCATTGGTAGGACCAATGAGAGGAACTGGTGAGAGACTATTGGATGATAGGAGAGGCAGAACGCGTATTTCTTCCAGACTCCTTTTCTGCTGCAGGCTACCTCCATCTCCAGGGCAATCCCTCCTCCATGCCTCCAGCCTTCCCTTGGCTCAGCAATGCTCATTCCTCCATTGCAATGTTAAGTTTGAATGTGATAATAGTTTCCCACAGTACCTCAACATTTCCCGTTGGTTCTCTTTGAATGATCAGAACGGAATTCAGTTTCCTACCAGGACTGTGATGATACATCCCTTAAAGTAATGCACACAGAACTAGCCTAGGTTTTGCTCACCTGAGTATGCTGGAAGGTCAGGAACACAGGTTTAGATAGATCCTTTTTTTCCTTCACACCAATGGAGCCACTTATCACTTGAGAGTTCAATTTGACTCCCTCTGCCCCTCTTCTATTGTCAAAATAGGATCCATTTAGAATATTCCCAAGAGACCGGTAAGTGATCAGTGCAACGACATTCCTATCTGAGAAAATGGAAGGAAAATCATTTTATAGGGTGTCTAGAATTTGGGGAATGGGTACGCTAGTGTTTTGTGTGAGGGTCATACGGCAAACGTTAGGTATAGCCAAAATCTTCCTTGGAAATCCCTTCCACTGCCTAATTCACCTATCACATGTGGCTTGGGGAGTAGCGTTTTGCCTGTGTAATATGTATTATAATGCATCACACATTATAAGGGATTTATATGCAAAATATCCCATTGATGTGTGGTAAAAATGTATATGAGCCCTCGACATCAAAATTAGAATCATGAGGCAAGATGTTCATCCTCAGAAGGTGAAACTCAGGTGGGATGAGGAAACCAAACATTCCCTTCTTCCATCTGAAGCTCACCCTGGGATGTCTAACTTAATGGAAAATTTCGCAGGATGACTCACTCTATTTAATTCACTCTCTCAGTTTCCTCCCCTCTCTCCCTTCCTCTACCTCTCTGTGTCTCTATCTGCCTCTGTTTCTTTTTCTCTCCCTCTATCTCCCTCCCATCCTCTTCCCCTCCCCTTCTTCACGCAAGAATAATTAAGTCCCAGAAGTTCAATGCACAGCGTGTTGCAGTGTTTCCTCAACTGCAGTCACTCATGTGCCACCATCTCAGTTTTACCCAAAGTCACTTGCCACCTGTACTTTTATTTGCTCCGTTAAAAAAAATCAACTGATTTTAAGATCTTTTCCTTCCCCCTCTGATATTCTAAAGCTCACAGTAAAGAGTGAAGATCAATCAGTAGCCAGGAATGTTTCTAGAGGAACTGCAGTGGTAGTGAAGACACTCTCAAGGTAACTGGGTCTTTCTCTTTAAAACATTTTTATGCATGAATTAATTTATTTATTCATCAAATATTTGCTGAGCAACTACCATGCGCCAGACTTTGTAACATGACAGGAAAAAAAAAAGAGTCCCTGTATCAGAGAGCTGATGTTGTAGTGGGAGAGATGGACAAGCAAATAAATGAATTAGAAAAAGATCTCATAGTGTGGATGTGATGCAGAGACTTATATAAAGTGATGGAATACAGCAGGGGCGGCAAACTATGGCCTGGGGGTCAAATCCCGCCTACCACGTGTTCTTGCACATCAAGTTTTATTGGCGCATAGCTGGGTCCCTTCATTTACGTGTCATCTATGGCTGCTTTCACACTATAATGTCAGAGTGGAGTAGGATAACAGAAAGCACCTGGCCGAAAAGTCAAAAATATTTCTCACCTAGTCCTTTTACAGAAAGAAGTTTGCCAACCTGCAGGATAGAGGAAGACTGGGTGGCTATTTTAAATAGAGGGATCATAAAATGCTTCTCCAGGGAAAGAGTGTTTAAGGCGACAGTCATCTGCCACCATCAGGAGGGAGCTTTTTTGGATCATCACGTGGAAACAGCATGCATCAGCCCCTCCCTTTTAAGGAAGCGTATCAAGGGATCTCTGTCTGAACCTGTGTGTTTGTCACAAGTGTGTCCTCCAAGTTGTCTGGTTACTGGTCAAGGCAGACCTTTTAATTCCACCACACAGCATCTCCTTACCTTGAAACCTTTAGAAGCCCCATCTCTTGGCCCAGCCACCCAGAAATGACACAACAGTGCCTAGAATTTGGAGGTCAAGAGAGTCCGTCTTAGACACAGTACCTCTTGTGGCTCCTTTGAAGGAGGCAGAACAGTCGATATTCATCGTGTTATTTCCGGCCTCCAGAATAGTTTTCTCACTTGTCTCGTTGCACCTCTTGGTTTCATAGACTGAAAACGGTAAGAAAGTGAGTCCTGCTTCGGGCACTTCTCCTGCCTAAGAAACTCGCTGAAGATCACCCTTCTTTGGAAGACCCCCTACTGGTGATTTCATTTACTGCAGGCAAGATAGACCAGATGGTACTACTCTCTCATTTCTGGCAGGTGGAGATGAAGTGGTTAACATGATGTGAGTATCCTGCACTGGCCACACAGCTCAGGGGAAGAGAGGAGATGGCCAGGCTTCCCAGAGCCAGAGCTAGGGTAGGCAAATTCAGCCTTTACCATAGAATATTTAAAGGGCAAAACTTGAAAAAAAATGTGTAATGGAGTGTCTGGGGAGGGGAGAACTTAATTTTTAAGAAAGAAAAGCTAAGCATTTAAAGGTGTCCCAGAAACAGTACGAAATTTCCTTAAAATACTCACAGACACAGAACATAAACTTATGGTTACCAAAGGGACAGGGAGGGGCAGATCAGGAATATGGGATTAACAAATTACTATACATAAAATAAATAAGCAACACGGATTTACTGCATAGCACATGGAATTACCCCCAATATCTTGTAATAACCTATAACAGAATATAATCTGCCAAAAAAAAAACCGTCACTACACTGTACACCTGAAACTAACACAATATTGTAAATCCACTACATTTCAAATTTTTTAATTTAAAAATAAAAAATAGAAGTTTTCCAAGGAAATCATTACTTAGAAGCAGATCTGCATTTGGGAAGAATCCCCTGGGTGAACTCTCTCCATGTCATATAAATATATAAACACAAGGTCTGATGGAAGATCACCCTCAAACACTTCTCGGGGCATAAGGAAGATGCTGAGTGCTTCTTACCTATGTCAAGCGTAGCATTTTCATGCTTTCCGGGAGAAACAAAACTCTTATTCCATATGAGCAATTCTATTTGTTGAAGAAGTTGGGTAGCCTTTTCTGCGATGTGTTTTTTGCTGCCATTGTTCCTTAGAATTTCCTTTCAAAGAAAAAAGCTAATTAAGCAGACGTGTTCCAACTAAAGAAAGCAGGAAGACACATTAAGCGCGGCTGGGTGAGCCCAGAAGGCAATAGCATGTATTAAGGTGCTGCTGGGCTCTGTGCTATCAGGCGGATATGTACCTTCTTGTCTGTGACACACAGCCCATAAGGGTGTATCACCAGTCCATTGTGTTGATGAGAACAGGAAGGCTTAAAGGGTGAGCTGTCTGGACCCTACAAAGAGTGCGTGGGAAGTGGTGATGGAGAGAGGGGGTGGAATACAGCTCTAGATACCAGTGTTTGAATGACAGCTGAGGCATTTAAACCCTTCCCCAGGGTTTCTCTATAGACATCTGAGACCAGATAATGGTCACGGGAGCCTGCCCAGCGCATTGTAGGATGTTTAACAGCATCCTTGGTCTCTACACACTAGATACCAGTAGCACCCTAGTTGTGACAACTCAAAATATCCCCAGACATTGCCATTTGTCCCCTGGGATAGAGGACAAGATCACTCCTGGATGAGGAGTGCTGTGTGCTGTAAGCCAGAGGGGGCCATGGTAGTATTTCAGCAGGAGAATGACATAGTAAGACTGATCAGCTGTTTTCCAAACCTAGGCGACACCTTACTCACCCAAACGTTCCCTGATAGCAGTGGCTTCTCACCAGCATCCTCTGGGAAAGAAAAGCAGCAGTTCAATGGAATATAACAGACAACACGCCCGGATACACATCCTTCTCCCAGCCATCCTCGCGTTGGCTGTTTCCCTGAGGTGCCCACACCCTCTCCTAACTCCCCTTTAGGAAGGCCCAAGTGCCTTCCACAGTAGAAGTTTAAAAGGAATTAGGATGGAGTTTCCAGCTAAACAATCCAGTTGATAGTATTTATGGAGCACCTACAAAAGCCAGGCTAAATCTTATGGATGTAGGTTAATAAAGAGACAAAAGGTGTTTCCTTGTGGAGTTTGCGGTCGGGTGGGAAAGTCACCAAGCAAATAATGACAAATAAATGATTAAGTGATTGCAAGAGTCAACATGTTCTTAATAAATAGGATGAGATGAGTTGGGAATATCCTGAAAAGGGTCACACTGGGGGCACAGAGAAGGTGTCCCAAAGGAATGGGTGTTAATTGAGATAATAAGATTCAGGCAGCAATAATGCCTGCTGTTGTCTACACAGCATGGTACTTATTTTTTCCAAGTTTTTATTTTATTTGTTTTGGGGGAGGAGATAATTAGGTTTGTCTGTTTGTTTTTTGTTTATTAACAGAGGTACTGGGGATTGAACCCAGGACCTCATGCGTGCTAAGCATGCGCTCTACCATTGATCTAAACCCTCCCCTCAACAGCATGGTATTTAAAGTGCCTTCTTAGCCGCTATCTCATTTAAAGGAACACAGAAGATTCTAGAACCAAGATACGCATAGCATAATAGCTAATATTTATCGCGCTCCCCTAGGTTCCCAGCACTGCGCTAAGTCTCCTGCCTGCCTTAATCATCGCAAGTGGGGTGTATTCGCTTCCCAGGGCTGCAGAGACAAAGTATCACAGACCGGGTGGCTTAAAAAAATAGAAGTGGGTTCTTTCAAGACTCTGGAGGCTGAAAGTCCAAGATTGAGATGTCAGCATGGCTGTGGTCCCCCCGCCAGCTCTGGGGAAGACCCTTCTCTGTTTCTTTCGGGGGCTTGCCAGCCGTCTCCGGTGTCCCTGGCTGACAGCGCTGTAACTCCAGCCTCTGCTTTTGGCTCAGCGCGTCTTTCTATGTCTCAATGCCCACATTTCCCCTTCACATTAGGACATCAGGCTTACTGGGCTCGGTTCAACTGCATCCAGCATGACCTCGTCTTGATTTGACTCTGTCTGCAAAGACTCCGTCACCAAATAGGACCACGTTCACCTGCTCGAGGTGCACAGGAATCGGGGAAGGGTGTGACATTCCACCCATTACAACCTGAGATAAGCAGGTTTCTGAAATGAGTCTCAACAATCCCTACCTCACACCCTTTTATTCACACCCTTGTGTAATCTTCCCCTCCTAACTGGACCCAGTGATTCATTTCCAATGAACAGAATGCAGTAAAAGTGAGAGGATGTGACTTCCAAGACTAGGTTAAAAAAAACTGACTTCTGTTTTGCTTACAGTCTCTGTCTGGCTATTCTCTTGCACTTGCTGTAATACAGCAAACTAGAGAAGCCCACCTGTGTAAGAACTCGAGAGCAGCCTCTCACCAACAGCCGGAAAGGGGCTGAGGTCTTTAGGCCAATAGCTTTCAAAGAACATAATCCTGCCAGCAACCACGTGAGCAAGCTTGGAAGTAGATCTGCACCCACATCAAGCCTTCAGATCAGACTGCATCCCCAGCCAACACTTTGCAGCTGTGAGAAACCCTGAACCCAGGTAAGCCATGCCTCGTTTCCTGGTCTACAGAAACTGTGAGACTGTAAAATATACAGGTCAAATATACAGTTGACCCTTGAACAACACGGGTTTAAACCACATGGGTTCACTTAAACACAGACTGTTTCAACGAATATGTATGGCAGACCTACACAATCCGTGGTTGTTTGAATCTGCAGATGTGGAACCATGGATAGGAGCGCTAACTGTCAAGTTACACACAGATTTTTCAACCGTGCAGAAAGTCGGTGCCCCAACCCCCACATTGTTCAAGATTCAACTGTATGTTGTTTAAAGCCACTGGTGCCAGGGTAATTTGTTACATCACAACCCATAACCAATACAGCAGACACTGTTGGCATTCTCACTTACAGATGGAGCATACAGAAGTTAAGTCATCGCCCAAAATGCAGCTGGTTGATGGTAGGGCCGGAAATTAAATCCAATCCATCTAACTCAAAACTTGGAATTATACTAGGAATGAGCAAATTAATACACAGGTTGGATAGTGAGAACCAGGTTTCTCAGTGTTGGAGAAAGGAGCTACAAATAAGGAAAGAGGAACGCTAGATCAAACCTTGGCATTGGATTGGAATCAGAGGTACTGGCAGGAAATCACAGGTGTTAGTATGCAGGCAGGCAGACAGACGCAGAAATTGAATTTAACGAGAGTCAGAGAGGAACATGTAGAGAAGCCCAGTAGAAAATTAGAAATGTCGTTTAGGAGGCCCAGGAAAGAGGTCCGGGCAGGAGACAGAAATTTGTAAGGCATCTACATGGAGATGGGTGTCGGTGCCGTGGGCTTGAATGAGATCTCTCAGGAAAAGATTACCAAGGACAACAGTGGATTGAAGGGTGACAGAAGCCAGGGCAGATCTCTGCTCTCTTACCCTGACCTGAAATTGGCAGAACTCTCAAAATCTCTCCCCCTGCCTCCCTCTTCACGGCGGCGAGAGTATTCGGAGGTTCTTACCGTAACAGTTTTCATGATTCAGTTTAATGATGCCAGCCACCCAGTTGAAGATGGGAAAATTTGGAACACAGCTGCAGTAGTAACTTCCAATTTGATTTCTGCAATATGCCTCCTGTTGGCACTTTGCCAGTCCAGTCTGACACTCATCAATATCTGTGGAGCAAGAGAAAATGTCGTTTTCTATTCTCATAAAACCATACCACCTTCCCTTGCCCGTGACGTCTCTACTATCCAACATCAGTCAGAGACGTACCCAGGATGTCTCTTCTTGGTTAAGATGACTCGGTATTATAAAGACGTGGGTTCTCCTTAAGTTAATTGATAAAGCCAATAAGACCCGACAAAAAAATTTTCTACATGTATTTTATGGAGAGAGATGCCTTGATATTACCATACACGAATAATCAGAAAAACTACCAGATGAGGACTGACCTTACCAAACATTAAATCACACTATAAAACTTCAATAAAACTATGAGGTGCTGGTGCATGAATAGACTTGGGGAACAGACCAACTAATCCAGAAGCAGACTCAGCCGCGTACACGTGGGGCTTTGGAATACAACAATGGTGGCAAGTCAAAACACTGCAGTGAGGATAGAGGCTTGGTTTTTTTAATGCTTGAACCACACAGTTTATTAAATCAGTTAAAAAACACAGTTCAAAACAAAAAGTTAAAAAAATAAATACAACCAACATTGCATGATCCCACTTACATGCAGTCTCTGGAACAGTCAAACTAACAGAGATGGAAAGCAGGGTGGTGGGTACCAGGGGCTGGGGGAGGGGCAGTGGGAAGTGAGTGTTGAATGGGGACAGAGTTTCAGTTTTGCAAGATGAGAAAAGTTCTGGAAGGCAGGAGGGTGTAGCTCAGTAGTAGAGCACATGCCTAGCATGCATGAGGTCCTGGGTTCAATCCCCAGGACCTCCATCAAAAAAAAAAAAAAAGTAAATAAATAAACCTAACTACTTCCCCCAGTGGAAAAAAAAAAAGGAAATAGAAAAGTTCTGGAGACGGATGGTGGTGATAATGGCACAAAAATGAGTAAATGTACCTCATAATAATGAATGGTTCACTTAGAAGTGGTTATAATGGTAAATTTTATGTTACGCATATTTTACAATTAAAAAAATTTTAAATAAATAAATGTAGTATTGTATGATTCTGCTTATAGGAGGTCCCTATGGGAGTCATATTAACAGAGACAGGAATGGTGGTTGCTAAGGACTGGGAGGAGTTAGTCCCTAATGGATACAGTTTCAGTTTAGGATAATGAAAAAATTCTGTGGATGGATGGTGACGATGGTTGCACAGCAATGGCAATGTACTTAGTACCACTGGAAGACACACCTAAAACTGGCTAAAATGGTAAACTGTAAGTTATGTATATTTTGTCACAATAAAAGTGAACTGAGGGGGAGGGTGTAGCTCAGTGGCAGAGTGTGTGCTTAGCACGCACAGGGTCCTGGGTTCAATCTCCAGTGCCTCCTCTAAAAATCAATCAATCAATCAATCAATCAATCAATCTAATTTCCTACCCCCCCGAAACTAAAAAAACAATGAAGTGAAATGAAATGAAATAAATCTAAATGCTCTACTCTTTTCTGCTTCACCTTCTGAACTGACACTACAACTCCATCAGATACCCAGTTCCAGCAATTAGATGCTCAGGAGTGGTACTTCCCTCGGTATTCAAATCGACCTTTAGAATTTTGGAGATGAAGAGGGATTTTGGCTCAAGCAGACGGGAGTAGTGAAAAGTGGGACCAGATCATGGAGGACATGGAGTGCCAAGATAATTTATTCATTTTTTTCTCTTGGTGAACACACATTTGTAGGGTATCTGCTCTGTGACATGATTCTCTGTCTTAGGCATACAGCAATAAACAAAACAGATAAGATTCCTGCCCTTGTGGAATTCCCAGACAAGCAAACAAACAAAAAACAAAAAATCAGCGCTTGAGACTTCAAGAGCCCAGGGTCCTGGGAACTCCGCTTTCTGCTCAAGAAAAACCAAGCCAATATCAGGGATCATCAAGCCAGTACTGAGATGAGAGTGAGAAGGAGACAAGGGCTAGGGACTTCCCTAAGGCCACTGAGGCAGCCCTGACTTTTTCATCTTGTAATATTTTTCCATCTTTACAATCCCAGCACCCCTATGAAACACAGCGACTGGGGCCAGGAAGAATGTCCCTGACCCTCTCCAAACTCCAAGGTGAGTGTGGACTGCTCTTTACCTTCACATTTCTCATTGGGCTTGAAGTATCTCCTCCCAGAAGTGGACTGAAATCCACCTTTGCATGTGCAGTGGGTGCTGTTGTAGCAGTCGGCATTTTCTGGGCACGGCGGACAGAAAGCTGCAATTGAACATGGGATCCACTTGTTCGTTTGCTCATTCATTCATTCAAGAAATATTCGTTGAACACCTATGATGTTCCTTATGCTGTGGTTGGAACAACGTCCTCCTGGGAATAGCTCTGTTGGCACCCCTTTCGCCCCCATCTTACTGCTGAACACAGATGCTCGCAGTGCCCCACCCTTATCCCACCTCTGCCACCAACACCGCATTTGCCTGACAGTACAACTTCCAACTGCCGGCACCTGTGTTTCTCTACCGAGGGTTTTCTCTGGCCACCAACATCCTCTTTGCTCACCACATGGCAGGTTAGCAATACCTTCTTCCCCCAGGAGCAGCTCCCTCGATCAATGACTGACTGGATGTATTAAATGACAGTGGATTGAAAAAAAAATCTTTCTTATTGTCAAAAATAGACAGAGAATAATACGTGTTGGCAGGATGTACAGAAATTGTACTAGTGCACTGCTGGTAGTGATGTAAAATGGTGCAACTGTTGTGGAAACCTGTGTGGCAATTTGTCAACAAATTTTTTTTAATTAGAATTACCATGGGATCCAGCAGTTCCACTCCTGGTATATAGTCCAAGAAATTGAAAGCAGGGTCTCGAAGACAGGTATTTGCCTATGTTCACAGCAGGACTATTTACAAAAGCCGAAAAGGCAGAAGCAACCAAAGTTTCCATCAGTGGATGAATGGGTAAATAAGATGTGGTACATTCACACAATGGGACACTATTCAGGCTTAACAAGGAAGGAGATTCTGACATGTTACAATATGGACGAACCTTGAAGACGTTTTTATAAGTGAATCAGCCCATCACTAAAGAACAACTGTTGTGTGATTCCACTTACATGAGGTACCTAGAGCAGCCACATTCATAGAGACAGAAAGCAGAATGGTAGGTTTGGGGGCTGCTGGGAGGCGGAATGGGGATTCATTATTTAATGGGTGCACCGTTTAAGTCTGGCAAGAGGAGAAAGGTTCTGTGGATGGATGATGGAGGTGGTTACACAGCAGTGTGAATGTGCTTCACGGCACACCTAAAGTGGTTAAAATGGTAAATTTTGTGTGATGTATATTGTACAACCATTTTAAAAAATGAACAGTAAGAAAACAGCCTCCCTATCCACTGAGGGGGATAACTCTGAGCTGCACTGTCCTTGGTCTGTCCAGCAGCCTCCAGGGCAGCGAGCTCCGGTCACCACGTGCCACTTGCTCGACAGCAGGTCCTGTGTTGATGCCCCACCTCTGCCTGTAATTTTCCCCTCCGAGCTGGTGCTTCCTGGGAATTGCCTTCCAGATAAATGACTTGTTCTCATGTCCTGATCTCAGAATCTGCTTCTGGGGAGACCCAACCCATGAAATGGGATAAAGGCAAAGGTACCTCCCAAAATGAGTTGAAAGGTGGGCTTTGGGGAAGGAAAGGGGATAGTCCACTGTCCACCAGCCTTATGACCTTGAACCAGCTACTTCTCTACAGGGCCATTGGTCCGGTGGGGTTAACGTCAGAACCTCCTTTGAAGGAACGTCAGTGCCGTTTAATGCGATGCTGCATGCAATTTGCTCAGCACTGATCCCAGTGCAATGCAAGAGCTAATCAATGGAGGTGGTGACATTGATGTTGAAGAAAGGGTAACAGTGCTTGGGCGCCCCACGGAATTGGCAGAGAGTAGCAGAGGTTGGGTGTTCTCTCCAGAAGGGCTGCTGCTCTCCCCTGGAGGCAGGCTCCACATCCCAACTCACAACGAGTAAACTCACCTCCGGAATTCTTTGCTTCTGATCCTGACAGAGCCAGCAGGACACTGAGACCTGGAACAGAGAAGGGGGGATGGTGCAGATGGGGGACGCCCTGAGGCTCTGCTTGGCTGAAGCCTGAGTGAGTTGGGCGCTTTGTCTCCTGCCAAGCCATCCGTGTGCTGGCGTCACTGTGGGCTCCTCCCGGCAGGCTAGAAACACTAGAGTCACAGGAGGGCATCTTACGCTATTGGAACGCGAGCTGCATCCGATTACAGCTATAAGAGGTTCTGCACCCAACTCCTGACAAGACTTCTAGTCTGTGTTCAAGTCCGCTGAGGGTATTTTTATGGCCTTGAGGACCCTCAAGCCCAGAGCAGAAGGATGGGTAGGTCCAGGCCACTGTAATGTACTAAGCCGTGGCATGGACCCACTTGGTGGTCAGTCGGCATGGCAGACGGTTGGTGCGTCCCCTGCGCCCATCCCAGAGAGCTTTCCTATGCATTCAGATAACTCACTGCTTCACTCTAGAAAACGGCATTTTCCTGCAGCCTGTGACAAGGTCAAGTGGTCCAGGATCAGGACTCCTTGCACTTCTAAGGCACCTCACATACCGGAAGAGTCCCCAGTAGGATTTGAGTGCCAGTTACAGACAGTGGTAACCCCTCATTAGCCCTCCTTTCATTCACTCTTCTCCCTTCCCTCTTTGACATCCCCCTCTCCCTCCCTTGTACTTCCTGGGATCCCTCCCCAATAAGTTACTTACACCCAAGTCTTTGTCTCCATTCTGCCTTGAGAGAGAGCAACTTAGAGACTCAATATAAGAGCTTCTCATAGGATATGTGTGCACAGTACTATCTGGAGAAAGTGCCAAATTTGAGAGAGCAACCAAAGCCGGAATTGGATATCCAGGGCACAGGGAGAAGACAGGGGAATTCTTGGTTCCACTCACCTAAGAGCAGGGACAGGCACCTGTTTCCCATAGCAGTTGAGATTCCAGGAACCATGAGCTGGATCTGAGAAATGTTCTCACGCAAGATGTGGCAAGTGCTCCTGGAATGAGTCAGCCCCATGAGAATCAATTTCTGATGGCCACAAAGTTGAGAAGCCAGGTGACTGATGTTTACCAAAACTCTTCCATTTCTGCCCATCTGTTGACTCAATGATTCCACTTCTGGGAAATTATCTCGAGGAAAGATTTGGCAAGGATGATAAGAGCAGAGTGGCTTATAGGAAGCAAGTGTTACCGCCCAACAAGTGGGAAACAGTACATGCCTCCGATGGAATATTCTGCTAGAATTTGAAATCCTGGACTATTGGAATCAGCAAGATCCAGACAGTAAGAAACTCCACAGGACAAACTATCCAGTTTCTTCCAACAACAACAACAAACAACAAACAACACTGTGTAAAAAACTTCCAGTGCATATTAGCAAACACAATATACTCTGTAATGTGCTCTGTTAAACCACTCAAAAAGTGGTGTCAGTGAGGATAAAGTTACCCGCAGCGAGTTCTACACAGGATCAACCCAAAGAGGAACACACTAAGGCACATAGTGATCAAAGTCACAAAAAATTAAGGATAAGGAGAAAATATTAAAATAAGCAAGAGAAAAGCAACAAATAACATACAAGGGAACTCTCATAAGGTATCAGCTGATTTTTCAGCAGAACCTCTACAGGCCAGAAGGGAGTGGCACGATATATTTAAAGTGATGAAAGAGAAAAACTTACAATCAAGAATACTCTATCCAGCAAGGCTCTCATTCAGATTTGACGGAGAAATTGAAAGCTCTGCAGAAGAACAAAAGCTAAAAGAATTCAGCACCACCAAACCAGCTTTCAATAAATGTTAGAGTGACTTCTCTAGTCTTCAAACCACAAGAAAAGAGAGCAAAAAGAAGACAGAGAGGGGAAAAAAGACTTACAAAAACAAACCCAAAACAATTAGCAAAATGGCAATAAGAACGTATGTATCAATAATTACCTTCAATGTAAATGGATTAAACGCTCCAACCAAAAGACACAGATGGGCTGAATGGATACAAAAACAAGACCCACATATATGCTGTTTACAAGAGACCCACTGCAGGGCTGGAGACACATGCAGGCTGAAAGTAGGGGATGGAAAAAGATATTCCATGCAAATGGAAACCAAAAACAAACAAACAAAAAGCTGGAGTAGCAATACTTATATCAGATAAAATAGATCATAAAATAAAGACTATTACAAGAGACAAAGAAAGACAGTACATAATGCTCAAAGGATGATAAAGGCATCAATTGGGAAGGTATATCTAAAGAATTTGAAGAAAGTACTTCATCAAATGTAAGTAAGAAGAAAGACAGTATTTAACAATGTGTAATGCAAATAATTCAATATTGTAATAAAAAATGACACTGCAGGAGGCTATTAAAATAACATGGAAAGTGACTGTGATACGGCATGAAGATAAAAGCAGGTAGTAGAGCAAAATATATAATATTGCATTTGAAGGAACTATAAATGTGAATAGGAAATGGCATTGTGAGTGATTTTAAATTTCTTTTTTGTTTAACTGTAATTCTAAATTTTATACATTACTTTAGCAATAAGAAAACAATGATAAAATTTTAATCAGAATATTTTAATCGAAGGGAAAACAAAATGGCTTTAAAAATTGGCTTCTCTCTGGCAGCTCCTTCCCTTTTCTATGCTGTTTTTATATCTCCATTCTGCTTTGATCTCTTCGTTTGGAATCCTTTAAGGCCAGACTGTGGAGCAATTCTCTCTCAATGCCTCATCCACAGTTAGATGTTGGCCATGCACAGTTAGATGACATAACTTGTGCCCAGGAAACCCCGAGTTTGAATTGCAAATCTTCAGTTACTAGTTCAGTGACTCTGGTGTAAGGACCATGCCTCTGAGCCTCAGTTTTTCTCATCTGCAAACTGGAGCAAAGAAAGAGCGTATACTTCACAGAATTGTGCTGACTCAGTGAAATAACCTTTCAGATCATGCAACACCTGCCTGGCCCGGGGCAGGTGCTGAATAAAGTTAACTGATGAGGACAGGATATGATGATGGTGGTAATGGTGGTGGTGGTGGTGATATTAATTATGGGGATAAAGATGATGTTGGTGGTAATGGTGAAAGTAATGTACCTGGAAGTAGTGACAGCAAAGGGAATGGCTTTGATGATGGTGATGGCGGTAATTATGGTGGATGTGATAGTTAACGGTGATGGTGGTGGTAGTCACGGTCATGATGGTGGCGGAGGTTGTGGTGATGGTGGTGGCGATGCGGATGGTGATGATGGGGATGGTGGTGGTAGTGATGGTGGTGGTGGAGGTAGCAGTGACGATGGTGGTCGTGGAGAGCTCTCATGCCTCTTTCGTGACTCCCGTGATGTATAACCAGGCCTCTGCATGCTAAGGGCAGATCCATTACCCAGTGGTGATGAGAATTAGTAAGAGCCCCATGAAGCCCCCACAGGAACAAAGCAGTGGTCTGAGAAGTCCCATCCCAGAAAAAGTCTCTTATTTCTGATGGCCCTCAATGGGCTAGTCACACATTTGTGACTCACACATCAAATTTTGCTGCAGACGGTTCTCTCAACCTTTCTATTATCGCTTCCTAAAAACACTTATGGAGCTTCTATGGTATGTCAAGCACCCAACTAAATGCCTTGACAGTACTACCTCACTGAAAGCTCACAGCCACCCTATGATGTAGATCTTACAATTACCCTCCCATTTTTCAGATGAAGACATGGAGGCTCAGTTATACCACCGGCTCAAAGTGGTGTTACTCGTAAAATGCAAAGCTAAGACTTGGAAAAAAGTCAGTCTCAGTCCAAAGACCACACATAACTCCTGCACCAAGATCCCAAACCCCACTGCCCCCTAGATCTGAACTTGTAATATAGGTAAGGGAGGCCACCGGGGAATTTGAGGCGAGTCAGGAGACAGTGGAGATGTGGAGGCCCTGGGCTTCGCCTGAAGACATTCAGATCCACTTTTCCCCTAAATGCAGAGCCAGCGGGCCACAAAGACTGCTTGCAATCTCTGCAGCAGACAGGATTTGCCTGATTGAAAACTCAGTTCTGTGTGTTGGAATCTCTGAGGAGTTACACTTGGCTATTTCCTGATGCTTTCTCTTCCCCAAAATTCATTTCCCTTTTTCATTCACACTGATCCTCCCTTCCAAAAACCTACTCTAAAATGCACTGTGCAATCTCCCAACGTAAAGAAACCCAGTCTAAATAAGGGTAATTTTTTGAGGACTCATCTGAAACCAGTTTAACTAAAGTGAGTATTTTATGTAAAAAAAGTGATAATGTTTTCAGCACAGCTGAGACCCCTGGCAATGCTGATTTAGGTTTTTTGGTTTTTTGAACCACTTTACTGAGCTATGGGTGGCATGGAAAAATCTGTATATATTTTGTGTATACAACCCGGTGAGTTTGGGGAGAACTATATACTCATGAAGCCATCACTGCCATCAAGACCATGAACATATCCATCACCTCTCAGGACTTCCTCCTGCCCCAGTATGGTGTGTGTGTGTGTGTGTGTGTGTGCGTGTGTGTGTGTGTGTGTGTTTGTGTGTGTGTTAACAGAAGATCCACACTCCTAGGGAATTTTAAGCACACAATACAGTATTGTTAGCTGCAGGCACTTCTGTATCACACATCTCCAGAATCGATCCATCTTGTGTAACTGAAACTTCATAACCCTTCGACCTCACTTCCTCCGTTCCTTTCTCCCCAGTCCCTGGAATCCACCATTCTGCTCTCCGCTTCTATGCCTTTGACTAGTGTAGCTTCCACGTGAGTGAGATCCTATAGCATTTGTCCTTGTGTCTGATTTATTTCGTACATCTGGCAATGCTGATTTGGGGGTCTTCTTTTTTTTACCATGACCCAGTGGAAGAAATACATTTTACATCACAGAGACAGAAAGAGACAGAGAGAAGAATGAACCAAGCTTCACAAACCAGCATTTGCTTCAGACTCTGTTCTCGAAACTTTCCTGTTTCAGTTCTCTTTAAACCCCTTACAATTCAATTCACCACCTCTTTTGAGCGCGCCCAAGCATCCCAGTATGTTCTACCCCGCCACGCAACACACACAGCCCTTGCCCAAGCGGAGATGGGAAAATGAACATGAGGCAGATGCCCCTAGAGCAGCTTTCAAGGAACAAAGCAACCTTGTACATGTAACAAGGTAGCCTTGAAAACCTTTCCAGAGCCAGGATATTTTTCTAGACCCAAGGTCACAAGCGAAACATTTTCTATTTTCTGTGGAAAGATGCAAAACCAGTTCCTCCTTACCCACAAGACGAAAAGCCCTTGGCTTGTCACCCCGTCTGGCAGCTCCTCAGAGTGAACAACAACCAGAAAAAGGAAGTGCACAGCTTCTTATCTTGAACTCCAGTTTCTCAAGGAGTCTTGTGGGTGGATATGACGGCTGGGGGCATTGGCTGGAGAGTTTGCACAATGCAGGGTCCATTTGTTCTCTTTTCATTCGGGTCATTTAAATAGTACATCACCAGTGTGGACCATATTAAAGCACCTCAAAAATGAGTTTGGAGATGTTGATGGTGGCCAGTGGGGAAAACCTGGTAACGGCGAGTGCCAATCACCATCTATGTCAAGAAGGTGGATCCAGTTTTGAGAAGGCTCCTTTAACGTGATGAACTTGTTAGGGAGAGGGTTGAAGTCCAGAGTGCCATCAACCCTGTATTTACCCAGTTCCCCATGACCCTATCACTTCTCGGCTCACCACATTGGAAAAATAATTCCTGATCTTTGAGACAGGGTCACCCAATACAATTACATTCATCTACTTGGCTGGTAAAATTCTTGACTGGTCCCGTTAGCGAGGGGTCCTGAAATTGCCTTCTCACCCATGTTAAAAGACTCTTTTATAAGGTCCAGGGCAAACACGGGGAACACCTCCTGGCTTGACGAGTCCAGACACACACCTAGTGACTGGCCCCTTGGCTTGCTTCTACACCTTGGTGAAGATAGCCTTATTACCCTGCACACCTTCAAAATAAAACTGCCAATCATTTTACCAGCAAGATGGGTTTTTGCAGGAATGGCCAAAACTTGTTTACTGGTTTCCCTTAAACCTGCTGGGGATATTGTGTTTTATAATAAGAAATATGTATTTGGGCTTCATCTTATTTCTGGCACAGAGCTCCAAAAAAACCCATGGATTTCCTGAGTGATGAGTGGGGAGACCGTCTTGTGTTAAAACATCTTGTCTTCGGTTCCTGAAACCACTTCAGAGCCATAGAGGTGAACCGGTGTCTTGTTATTCATAACAAGCCCCTTTCCGTGGGTTTTCATAAACACAGCTGGGTTTATGTCAAAGAGGTGACTTTCGGAAAGCACCTAAGGATGGGGGCTGGATGCCAGGGGGCCAACCACGTAATTAAAGGGTTGCAACTTTCAGCCCCAGCCCCTGATTTCCAGGGAAGGGGGAGGGGCTGGAGGTCAGATCAATCACCAATGGCCAATGATCTAATTGTCGTGTCTGTGTATTGAAGCCTCTATGAGAACCCCAAAGGACGGGGGTCAGAGAGCTTCCGGGTTGGTGAGCACCGGAGATCTGGGGAGAGCGGCGTGCCTGGAGAGGGCACAGCGACTCCATGCTGCTTCCTCACACTCTGACCCATGCATCTCTTCCATCTCACTGTTGCTCAGTTGTATCCTTTTATAATAAACTGGTACTCTAGTAAGTAAAATGTTGTCTTGAGTTCTGTGAGCAGCTCGAGCAAACTAATGGACCTCGAGGAGAGAGAAGTTGGAACCTCTGGTCTACAGCCAGTGGGACAGACGCACAGGGGTCACTGGGGCTTGTGACTGGCATCTGAAGTTGGTCAGGGGCTGAGAGGCAGTCTTGTGGGACCAAGCCTCTAATCTGTGGTGCTACCTCTGGGTGGAGAGTGTCACAACTGAGTTGAATTGTTGGACACCCTGCTGGTGTCACAGAATTGTTTTGTGAAAGCCACACACATTGGAATTGGGTCCGGAACCACTTTTACCTGCCCACACTTAGATGGTCTCTTCATGAAACCCTCTGCATTTAATCCATCTGACTGGGCCGGCTGCTGCTCGCCAAGTCATCAGCTAACACACACCCCGGCACTGTAAGCAGCTCTACCCACTCGGACAAATGCTAAACCCCCCTCACTGTCACAGAAGAGGAAGCCACGTTTCGAGAGAAGGAGGAAATATTATCCTTTTAGCAACACGTAGACCTGAAGCATCAAACACAAATGCCACTTCCTCCTTTGCCAGTCACCTAAAAACGATGGTTTCTCAGCAAACTTCCCACAGCTTGAAATGGCGGGGTCTGGTGTGGGAATTGGCTGGAATTAGGGTGACAGTGGTTCACCCTGGGGGACACCCTGCAGGACACAAGACTCAAGCAGAGCCCATTATATGTCTTATCAGAAGGGCAGCTTAGATTTGATGCCAAACAGTCCTGGTTAGTGACTGACACAAATGTTCTTTTTTTTTTGCCTGGCTCACTGGAAGTCAACTGAAGCTTGCCCTTAGAATAGACCATTGCAAACCTCTTGTACCAAGTATGCTTGGAACCCAAGGTTATTTTTTTTAAATGACCCCACAAGGTAATGATTGTACATTTTGACTTTTCTGTAAGACACTTAATTCTGCACTTTAAAATAGTTTAAATGGTGAGGTATTGGGGATTGAACCCAGGATCTCGTGCATGCTAAGCACATGCTCTACCCCTGAGCTGTATTGTCTAAAATGGTGAATTTTATGTTACGTGACTTCTACATTAAAATTTTTTTAAACGTACGTTCGTTCTCATATTTTTCACCGTAGGTTACAAGATACTGAATATAGTTCATAGTTCTCCCTGTACATGCAGGAAAGTGTCACTAATAGACTATTATTAATAATCAGGTGTTTTTAAATTAAAATGTACTTGATTTACAATGTTGTGTTAGTTTCTGGTGTACAGCAAAGTGATTCAGTTGTAAATGTATAGATATTCTTTTTCATTATAGGCCATTACAAGCTATTGAATATAGCTCCCTGTGCCCTGCAGTAGGACCTTGTTGTTTATCCATCTCGTATATAGCAGTTCGTATCTGTTACTCTCAAACTCTTAATTTACCCCTCCCCCGCTTCCTCTCTGGTAACCATGTTTGTTTCCTATGTCTGTGAGTCTGTTTTTGTTCTGTAAGTAAGTTCATTTGTGTCATTTTTTAGATTCCACATACAAGTGATGTCATACAATATTTGTCTTTCTCTGTCTGACTGACTTCACTTAGTATGATCATCTCTAGGTCCATCCATGTTGCTGCAAATGGTATTATTTCATTCTTTAATAATCAAGTGTTTTTAAGCAAGGGGTGACAGGGATGTTATCCTGTTTCCTCAAACAGCTATAAATCTGTCCCCTAAAGCCCGTGATCAGGGCCACCACCAGGGTCGGGGGAGAGAAGCACCTGCCTCAGGCACAAAATTTAAGGGGGCATCAAAAACATATATATATCGTATGCATATGTGTGACTAAAACATCATGCTGCACACCAGAAATTGACACAGCTTTGTAAACTGACTGCACTTCAATTAAAAAACAAGAAATAAAAAAATTTTCCCCTGTATATATATTCTTTTTCTTTATAGGTTATTACAAAGTATCGAATATATTTCCCTGTGCTAAACAGTAGGACCTTGTTGTTTATCTATTTTATATACAGTAGTTTGCATCTGCTAATCCCCAACTCCTAATTTATCCCTCTCCCCCTTAACGTGCTTCGTAATGGTTAATTTTTCCTAGAACTTGATTTTGAAAATATTACTGATGAGTTTGCTCCTATGAAAACCAAGAAAATTTCATACATTCTGTTTAGGGATAAATAAAATATTTAAATTTAAAATGTTTTACATTCTAATATCTTTTCTTTTCAACTTTTCAATTTTTTTCAACTACAGTGTTCTGAGGAGAAAAGTCACATTGTAGGTGACCAAAAACATTCCTTGAAATGAATGGATCTGTATGGGGGGGACACCGTAAGTTATTTAGATTGTCAGGGGACAAAGTTATTTCACTTTATAGGATTTAAGTACCATGCAGATTTTATTCTAAGTCTTTTTTTCTCCCTCTGGTGGTATATGAGACCATGGGGGTGAAGGAACACCAAGTATGGCTTGCTGTTTACAGTAAGAAAAAGTCCTGCTGTAGAGGTCACAACTTTATCCGTCTACCTTAGAAATATGTGATTCCTGAAGGCAACTGTATTAGACCAACATGTAACACTGTTGCAGACACAGATAAAGCCCTGTGCAGGTCTTCCTCAGAGAGAACTTTAATTCAAGCATCACAGATTTATAGACCCTGATGACTAATTTGAAATGAAAATGGAAATGAAAATCCAAAACCTTCTCTTTTTATATTCCAAGTTATTGCAATCAATTGCAAAATGTTGATAATCCATTGGCTACTGTATCAATTAGCAATTGCCCCCAAATAATGCTTCCTAGAAAAGCACTCCTGAAACTGAGTGCCTTAAAGCAAGGAGGCTAGATTGCTGCTCCCGAGTCTGTGATTTGGCTGGGAAGGTCCGCTGATCGTGGCTGGGCTCACTCAAGTAACTGTAGTCAGTTACAAGCTGGCTGAGTGGCTGATTAGGGACAGCCCCAGCTGTATGAGAGGATGTCTAAACTTTCCTCCGTATGTTTCTCACAGCCTTCCAGCAGGTTATCCTGGGCATATTCTCACAGTTGAGGCAGGGACGCAAGAGGAGGAAAGACTAATCACAAAAAGGACAAGAAGGATTACAGACTCACTTTAGGAGCCTCCGTTGGAGCCACAGTGGCTGAAGCCCATTGGCCAAAGCCAGTCTCAAGACCAAGCCAGAGCCAGAGCAGGAAGGGGCGACAAAGTTACAAGGAAGGGGTGTGGGGACACAGAGACCCTTCCTGAGGCCACTGATGCAGCTGATCTATCACAGCTGGCTCTGGTAAGCGCTGTGCAGTCTCCTGTTTCAATATCCCTTAGAATTGTCACCTCTGTATGGAACACTTTAGACCAACCCAGCATTGAAGATCAGCCTCTCACAAATGAAACTCCTGTTTGTAAACACGCCTCAGCCCCCTCCCAAGTTGTAGCTGTCACAAAGAACAGAAGCCCAGCCTCCGCCAACCAGGTTTAATGTTGTTATCAAGTTGTCCCAATCATGAGCATTACTGAGCTAACTGAATCCCAGGTGGGAAGTTGATTCAAAGCAAATATTTAGTCTCTTCTCTGTATCCCCAAGGATTCCTGGGGTCAAAGGAAAAGAAGGAGAGGGTCCAAAGGTCTGCAAGAGGAACTCTGCAGTCAGGAGCTCAAAATCCAGCTCAGCCACCTACAGCTGTGTGATGCTGAGAAAGTTACTTAACCTCTCTGGGCCTCACATTGCTCCTCTTCAAAATAGAGAGAAATCATTCATTCACTGATTCATTCAACATATTTATGGAGAACCTACTAATTACAATTCCCTGTACTGAGGGAGCTCAAAGTTTAAGTTGGAGACACCCAAGAGAAAGAGAAATTATAACACAGGCTAGAAAGCATGAAGCTGTAAAAAAAAATTAATAAACAGAAACCTCAAGTAAATAGAGTCAGGAGACCAGAAAGGGGAGCTCTCACATCCTGTGATGACAGCAGTGCCCAAGAAGAAGACATCTCCTCTTCTTTCCTGGCAAGGACGCAGCCAATGAAGAGCCTTGTGCTCTTTTTTCACTATAGCTCTCCCAACTTCCTTTTCCCCCCTGCAAAAGTGTTCTCTTTCCCTTGCCATTAAGAACTCGCACATGGCTCACCAGCTGCAGACCCTGAACTGCAATTCTCCACTGATTCCGAGTAAACTCATCTTCGCTAGAGAAATATCTGGTGGTCTACTCGCTTCAGCTCAACAAAGCCTCGGTAGACACACAGACATGACAGCTAATCCTAGTTCAAGAGGTTCAAAGAATAATACAATATTGTAAATCAACTATATTTTAACTTAAAAAAAAGAGAGAGATTCAAAGAATGCTTCCTGGTGGAAGTGATGACTCAGCTGAGACTCAAAGAGAGGGCAGTACTGAGTAAGATTTTGAGAAAAGGTGTCATAGGAAGAAGGACTGGCAGGTGTAAAATCTCCAAGTTAATATGTTTCCTTTCTGGTTTTAAAGACAAGCAGGACTATCAGCATGGCAAACCGAATATTCTAGAATATGCTGGAACATTCATGAGTGAACACAAGTCCTCTGTGGGTCGGGTTAAATCGCAGGCTCTGGTCCAGCGGATCTGGGGTGGGGCCTGGAATCCTGCTTTTCTGACAAGGTGACGCCGATGCTCCTGGCTCACGGAGCCCACTTTGAGCAGGAAGGGAGGTATTAACGTGGCCACGGAAGGGAGGACATCAACATGTTAAATTTGCATCTCCTTTTTCTTTCAACTGACGTGTAGTTGATTCGCGATATGACATTAGTTTCAGGGGCACAGCATAGTCATTTGATATTCTCATAAATTATACTTCATATAAAGTTGTTAAAAACATTGACCATATTCCCTGTGCTGAACATTACATTCGTGAACCTTACTTATTTTACATCTAGTCGTTTGTACATCTTAATTCCCTTTTTCTTTCCCTGGGACTCAAGGTTTTGGGGAAGGGGCATGGGGGGGGGCAAGATGGGATGGCGGTAACTTTGTGAGCAGTGTCAATCGTCATCAAGTTATAAGAATGTTCCTGGAAGGGAGGGAGGAGATGGTTCCTTGCAAGGTTTCAGGAAAGCAAAACACTTGCCAAAGGCTGTTGTCATCAAGTGGCTCAGCTTTCTGTGAAACGCTGGAACTCTGCTTCACCGACCCCTTCTACTTACCAACTCGGAACTTTCAAGTGTTTCTGCCAAAGCGCCCTCTAAGCCCAGGTGCTTTGTTTACCCCCTGGGGCTCTCATGACAGTTTTACTGACCATTTCTTTAAAAGCTGGAGGGTTCTTTGTTGAAAGTAAGCCAGCCAGTCATAAGACAAGTCAAGTATTGAGGGCTACCCTGTGTGTTAAGCATGTAATAGGTGCCGGCGAGGCACGCTTGGAGCCAGGCATCAGCAAGCTTCGGCAGCCAGAAGTTCTTGGTGCTACTATTATTGCCCTGAGCTCTAGTATCTTCCCCAAGCCCCCCAAAGTCAAGGAGCTGCAGAACACAGAAAGTAGAACGGTGACCTGGAACAAAAACTCCTGTTTCCCACCAGGGCATGAAGCCCTGGGAAGGCCGCCCCACGCATCCACGCTCCGAGCTGCCCAGAGCGCTGTGGCGCTGGCGGGATCCTGCGTTTCCACAGTAAGCTGAGAAGAGGAGGTTTCCGAGTAGGTTCCTGCAGGCACCTGCTTTCCTGAAATGTTGTTCCACTGCATATTTGAAAGCAAGAAAGGATTTTAACCCTGTGAGAGAAATCAGAATCTGAATCAGTGGCAGGCTTACTATAAATGCAAGTTCAGGGGTCATATATATATGGACATGGGTCTTATAAACACAGAGAGAGGTGAATATGGCAACAAAAATGAGAAGGATAAACATTAAAACGTTAACAGGGATTATCCCTCAACCTCTTCACCGTTGGTGCTCCCACTCTCCAAGCCGGAAAGCCAAACACTTGCTTTGTCAAATTCTTTTGTCACTATGAGTGGTCATGTGATGCTCTGCCGACCAATTAGGTGAAAGGGAAATCGCTAAGGAGCTTCTAGGAAGGTTTTGTTTCCTGTTAAAGGGAGAGGATTGGAAGGAGAGTTTGCCACTCTGCCCCAACCCTCTTCTTCCTGCCTTGAATATGGTCTTGATGTCTGGAGCTATGGCAGCCACCTTGCAATCATGAAAATAATTGATGAGAAGCCAATATGCTGTTAGTGGAATGGAAATCTAAGGAGAGCCTAGATCCTTAATAACACCACTAAGGGATAGAACCAATCCAGCAACACCTAACTCTGGCTTCTCTTCTTGCAAGAAAAATAATTTCCTATTTAATTAAGCCACTGGAGTTTAGTTACCTTTGCTTGGAATATATCAGTGAGAAAATAAAACATTCTGGTAGGGGATGGAAGACCATAAATGAAATAAATAAAAAAGTTATAGTATGTTAGAAACTGGAAAGCACTATGAAAAGAAAATGAAGATAAGGAAGCAGAAGAGGCATTAATATCAGGGTGGGAGAGTAGGAAACTACAAAATGAGTTGTCGGAGGAAATTTCATTAATAAGAAATGATTGGAACAAAGATTTGAAGGAGGTGAGGGAAGTGAGAGAGTTGGCCATGTGGGTGTCAGGGCAACAACATTCAAGGCGGAGTGGGCATCCCATTCAAGGTTCCTTGAGTATTTGGCACGTTTGAAGAATCTTGATCTGGCCAGTGTGGGTGGACCAGAGTGAAGTGAGGGTTCGACTAATAGAAGACAAGGTCAGGAAGGAAAAGAGAGTCAGATCAGACAAGGCCTTGTGGGCCACAGGAGGACACAGGCTTTTACCTCGAGGAAGGTAGGAGCCATAGAGTGTTGCAGGCAGAGAAGGGATATGATCTGAGTCAGGTGTTCACGAGCGCCCTCTGGCTGCTGCAGGGAGAACAGGCCAAAGATGGGGCAAGGAAAAGGCAAGACCCCCTTTATGAGGCTGTTCCCATAATCCTGGTAGAGACAATAGGACGTGGACCACAGTGGAAGGAATGAAGGGAAAGAGAAGTGACCAGATTCTGGATCCATTTTGAGGAAGAGTCAGCAGGATTTGCTAATGGATCAGAGATGGGGGAGGGTGAGAAGGAAAGCAGAGGCAGGTTAACGTCATGGCTTCGCCTTGAACAGAAAAATAGAAGACCCTCACAGAAACGCAGGGTGGGGGGGGGTCAGAAGCTCCCTTTGGAACATGTCATGTCTGCAACATCTATTAGACGTCTAAGCAGGAATGTTTGGTATGTGGTAGGTTGTATGAGAATTTGGGAGAGGGGACTGGACTGCACATTATTTAAAACTTGGGGGGTCACTGCTAATAGATGATGTTTGTAGCCATGAGATTGGATGAGATCCACTGTGTAGAGAGAAGTGTGCGCTTCGGTGGAAAAATGATGCAATTGTCAAAGGATACCCCTCCAGATTACTCGAGTCTGACCTACAGTGGAGTTATTTTACAATGCTGTAAATTTTAAATAACTGACAAGGATGGAAAACAATTTCATGGAAAAATCCATTTTGCCTCTACTTGCACATTCATTTCAATATTCTTGAAATTATGTATATAATTTACATATACTATATGAATTTTATATATAATGTTAATAATTATATAATATATAATACATGCGTATGTATAATTATATCATATCATATATTTATGTATAATTATATAATAAATTTATATATAATTATATATTTATATAACATATAATGCTATGTATATAACATGTAATTATACATAATTATCAATGTGGGAACCAGACAGCTGTTATAATTGGGTCAAAAGAGAA